ATTCGATTGTTCTGGTCCGAGCGAGTGTCAAAAACCTCAACAGCATCAAGCACCCTGGAATTAATTGCCATACTGCATGTTTTATTCTGGATGCTTTTGGATCAATACTACTCACGAATGGCGTTATATATGTCGTCCACTGAATAATCTAATTTTCAAAAATAATCAAGGCGAGTTCAACTATTTTACTAGATGATTTTTTTTGTACTTAACATGTATATGTTTTTCAGTTGCTTTTGCCATATATTTGTAAGTGTCACTAAGCTAAATGCAGTAACTTCTTATGGAAGGTTTATAACGCATCATATTCCTGCCTGAAGTTTCACAAGCAGTCTAAACTTTAAAATTATTTTCTGGTCATGTTCATTATTTTTAAATCGTCATATACGTCAACAACCTGCGTGTTAACCTGGCCCATACATACGTTACACTATATCTCCATGTCTTCTAAATTTAGAAATCATCTGGATCGCCTTTAACATTTATCAATAAACCCATCATAGTCGTTGTTGCTAATCGTATTTGGGTTTATGGATTGGTTTATCATATTAGCAGCCTAAAATGCGAACATAGTTTAGATAATAAGATTAAAACTTTAGGTACTATCAACTGTACTAGTAAAATAACTAAATCCCCAGGTAGCTGTTGGCTAAACAAACGTTTAAAATCAAAACTCCGTAGCCTACTAGAATTAACACTAAACGAATATTTCTGAATTGAAACTTATAATTAAATTAGGCGTCTCGGATTCTTTAACATTATAAGTTTCTGATGACTTCGAATCACCTAAAGCAACAATACCTATTTTTCCACTGACTAATCCTTAATCAACACTATAACTAGCTAAACGTAATAGTTTCAGGATATCGTCATGAAGCATTGTCATGACTTGACAGTCACGTAATATGATTGATAAAATTAATGAAACTATTAACAAAATCGGTCAGCAAATTGACTTATAATTACCATTAAATGGTGTTGTTTTCTTGGTATCTTCATCCATCACAGATGATTACAGTATGTTTCTCTATCAGTTGCTCATTCAGTAAATATCTCAAAACCTTGTCAGTCTAATTGGAGGTTTAGCGACACAATCATGCATGCAAATAATCAGTATAAGCAGTCGAGCAAATCTCCTGCAAACTGAAAACATCAATGTCGAATTTACTCCAACACTGACTAAGGTTCAAGCCATTATCATAGACATGAGTTGGGAGTGTACTCCCCTTGGTTACAACTTATGTACTCCCTGATAATCACATGAGTATCGCTCACTATTAATCATCTTGTAAAAACTTATTTAGCTAAATACATCTTGCAGCACCACATCACTTAGTAATATGACACATAGGCTTAACTGATTTCAATAACTTATAACCACCATATCTCAGTTAAATCGTGTTCCGCCTTATGATAAACTGCATACTTGCAACTAACTTGTATGCCCATCAGCCGGCAAGTATAAATATAAATAAATAGTCTATCGCAGATCAGAACATTGAGTCTAGAGCATGTCTCTTACGAACACACTCATGTTTAACGATTTTTCCTAGCTATCTGTCCAAAATCCATATAATTATCACTCTTGTATTTATATTTTATTTTGATAACCATTCATGTGTATTAGTAGTATTACTAAATTTTATCACGGTCAAGTAAAAATGAGGTTGAGAAAATCTCCCCGTAACTAAATAAACCGTATCAAACTAACTGGAACATTAGTTGGAATTCTTCTCCACGGTAATACTTTTGTTCCTTCAGTTAGCCTACTAATACAGATGCAATTGGAAATCAATTCATATGGACAACTTACCGGCATAATCGTTATTTGATTTCATAATTTAAACCAAAACTAATACCAATATTAACATTTCTACAATATTCATCACTTTAATATTTCTAAACACAAAATACTTACTACCCAAACGTTAAGTTATTAACCAACGGCCATTAACATGCATCGTTTTATTATTATTGTTGTTGTTATTGTAATCCCATTTTCTATAGCCCAAATAATCTTCACCCAAATTTTCATTTCAAGCATGTTAAGCATGAAGGCAGATATTTTAAAATTATTACATGTATTTCCCGACCAGATGCTGCCGCTTTCTTTTTGATTTATCTTCCAGCTTGTCAATACCCGGAGGATTCTTATTATCCTTGGTAACCTCCGGCGCGCGACGATCCCATCCAATTTGGTATCGAACCAACATCACGTTGATTCTGGTGGGAGAGTAGTGTAGTGGCATTGGACCATAACCACACAATCTTCAAAGCTGAACACAAGACTACTCAGAAAATAGATATTCAATATTTAACGCGGATAAATACCTAACAATGGAGAAGGCGCGAACAATGAATTGAATGGGCTGGAGTTGATCGAGTGGCATGGCTCGGCCATGCAGGCGTGGTCTCTGCTGAATGTTACCTTATATCTTCTATTCATATTAAATATATTGTTCTTTCTCTAGCCTAACCTTGTTCTACATCATGTATTGGCAATTGATGCGATACAGTGAGTTGGTGTAGTCGATGGTGTGACTTCCACGTAAGATCTTATAGATTAGGCAGTTATATCATGACAAATCTACGAATTTAGGATTAGGTCTATTATTAGAGCAGTACTAATATAATAGTAGACCATAGTTCGACATACCTTTTTCTCATATATGAGCAACCTGGAAGCAGCGAACATCGTATATGAGTGCAGGTTTCGTGAACAATAACACTGCTCTCACACGCACTCGTATCATTGTCATTCTGAACGCTAGATTAGTACTTGGCAGATAAACCTCATTCAGTCGTAGTAGGCCTAACTCTAACATTTCCCTACACTAATCGATTATTGGCAATATTTGTGACTAATAGAATATGTACACTTGTAATGTGAGAAACAACCCGGTTCTCAAGTGACTTTAGGAAATATGGCTTCATTATGGTAGACATGTCAACATAAAGCTAACCGGATAGTTAGTCTATAAACGTTCTATCATACCACGAATCTTAAGAAGCCTAATCGAACCTGGGATTCAGCTCTGAGTTTTTTTTAACTTTTCTGAGGACGTCCTATTTTAATGCGTACTCGTGCCCAAGATGTACTGCGAGACCAAACATTAATGTTTAACTGAACATTCAGTTTTTGTATCTGATTATTTTATACAAACACTCTTAATTTATTCGGGTTCGACTGAATTTATCTGCTTCTTTTTCCGAAATAGATTCTTCGTTTTTGACCTTTGAACGACTCATCAGACCGATGAGTAAACACGTGGTAGCCAGACAGAGCATGGGAAAGTAGTGCCACACCAGCGTGGTGTTTGGTTGCCTGTCCATGATACCCTTTGAGTTATTCATGTCTCGATTTTTTTACCTTCCATTCTCTTACTAGCTCTGAGTTCATGTAGACAGCATCGAAAATAAATCGTGTACGATAATCTGTGGAAAGATGTTAAATGATGCTAAGAAAAGCTAACAAAGTATGTGACATTTATAGACTATCTCTGGATATTGATTGAGCAGTGGTGTTCATTGATCATACAAGAATGGTCAAACACTGAACGAGTTGGTAATTCCCCATCAGGCTATGGGACCCGAAGTGACATGTCATTCAACCGACATTTCTCTTTTCTTTAGATGACAACGAAGTTCGTGACTTAGTTTCGAGTCCCCCGATGTCATAACTACACATTATTTTAAGACGTGAGATAATAAACTGTTTGTTTTTGTCGGTCAGTCAAAGAATGCAGATGCTTTTCCAGAGGGAAACATTAGGTGATATGTCTCCGTCACAACTTGTAACTACCGGTGCCAATCATTCTTATCGATCTAGTTGCATTATTTACATGCGTTTCAACATGGGAGACATTTAAAGATCGTTGTAAGCCAAACGTTTACGATTATTCCCTGTCGTAAAAATCTAATGACTCATCCAGTGAACACTCTGTTGACGAGTCCTACTAACCGGACTACAGTTCTCAGTTCAAACGCGCGTTACTCGTGTTTCGCCTGAATTTTCAAGCTGCTTAACAACAGATATAGACAACAAGTCTCTAACTACGCATTTGCTTCCATACAATAACGGTGAAACCAAACCAAGCGGTAGAATGAAGTGGCACTAAATAAATCATAGGTTTGCTGCTGTGTAAATTAAAAGATCGTGCGGTGGCAGTTATGCATATAACTCTGTACTTGAGCACAAATACATCATGTTTAGTTTTGAAGAATATTTTTCAAAGACGGCTCCTACTCCTTGGCAACTCTATGACTTTCTTACAGATTCACGTGGGTTAGTCTGACAGCCTAGAATGATTTTATTATGGTATAAAGAGACTTTTTATTTTGTAGTGTGGCGTCGAGTCGCGTTTGACTATGAGCACCATTACAAGAGGGTTGCGCACCAGAAATCGGATGGCGGTTGTAGGTTGTAACGAGATATATTCGTTGGCGATCTCTTAGTGTCGAAAGAATATGAGGATCGTGCCAAAGAAATACGAGTGTAATCAGTGGGCAAACGTAAGAGCGTACAAGGTCACAATCAATGGAAGAGAGTAATGGAAGAATAATGGATGTTTTTAGTACAGTTAAACAATCACGGGTACAATTGGTTATAATAATTGTTTCCATTAAACCAATCGCGTTCTCTTGATAAAAGTAGGTCACTACAACTTTCCCAAATATAACCGAAGGCATATACTTTAGAGATTAACTGAAGTGTGATCACTTCTTGTAGGATGTGCAGAAGTGAGATGCCAAGACATCTGTTAAGGAACCTTATTCAAATATTTCTGGACCGAAATCCATACCTTCCATAGTTCATGTTTTTGAGTGTTCAAACCTTTCCACTGAGATTTAGCTTATTTTAGCAGATTTCTGAAGCACAGTGGCGGAAATCAGACCTGGATATGACTAAAAACGTCCTATGAAAAAGTAGCTACAGTAACAACAGAATGAATAATTCACTGTTTCTCCAACAATGTTTGATGTTTGAATTCTGTTCTGCTATTTATTTCGAAGGCGGCAGTACGAATGACTCTCCAAAGTGGTATTCACGGTAATAATACTTTGTTAGTTGGTTTATTTATTTTTAGCTGACCCATATGAAACATCTAAACTAGCAGATTGTAAAAGCCTTTCGTATAGAGCCGTGAAGCTCATCATAGATAAAGAAAAGATAGTTTTACTTATGAAAATACCATCTAAAGGTTCTTGGGAAGATGATTTTGATGTTGCAATGGGGAAGCTTTTAGATGCCAGCTCTCCGTGTTATGTGTTTTATCGTCTTGATTCCGTCAACTCTTTTGGAAGCGACTGGATTTTTATATGTTATGTTCCTGAAAGTTCTGACGTAGGTTTTGGTTGAATTAATGTAATAATATCACTTCAACTATTCGTTAGGTGCGTCTAAAAACGATATATGCAGCCACTAAAGCAACTGTTCTTAAGCAGTTTGGAGATAACTTAATTAAGGATGATATAACAATAAATTGTGTGGTAGGTTCTGTAATTCTTGCTTACATTTTAAGGGTGAAATGAACTTAAGGGCCTATAAAAAAATTATGGAAAGTAAAACTGCACCTGGACCTTATACTGAAGCTGAAATTGAGGTGGCTGGCATACACACAGGAGAAGTATGTTGAGATTTCATTCATATACCTAAAGGTGACCACTGGACTGCATTCCAGCTATCAAACAATCGGTGGTGTTTCATTCGCGCTTAGTCCTGATTCTCGCTCTGTGTTAAAGAATTTTGGTTCGGGAGAGTGTGATTACGTTCAGTTAGTAAGTTTGGTCAATGTGTAAAACGTGTTAAGACAGTTAAGATTGATCTTCTACATTCTAGTTGGGATTTTAAACACTGAAACGAAATTATTACATACTTAACCTATGGCATGCATTACTTGTACTCTGTGATGAAAAACGTTATTTTAAGAGTGGTACTTAAGAAAACAGGGACAATCAAAGTCACACAAGTCGTTTCGTTTATGCCCATGTTACCTACGTGCATGTAATGAGTCATATCACATCACACGGACATTTCTATTTGAACTGAGGTATTCCGTATTAGGATTTGCATTAAAAACCCATTCGTTGGTTCTCAACAGATAGAATGGACTCGGTGTTCAACATCTATCAATTTGTGTATGACAAATAAAACTACAAAACCCTATATTTTCTCTGTTAAATTGTTTATTAAATTCATTTTGTTTAGTTGCTGATTTTAAACCGTGCTAATAACTATGGTGGTATGTCATTTTAATAGAAGTGTACTTCGGTATAATTGATGATCTGGCGTTTTCTTTGTATTATCTCTCAATTCACGACGTGTAGGTAGTACATTCTGGTGACTTCTATTGTAATTAGTGGATAAGAAATACTTCAAATGAATATTCAAGCAATTATACTTCCATAAAAAGTAGAATAGTTTGTATTTGGTTTGTTACTAAGCTGATAGAGGTTTCATTTTAACTTGGAATCATTGTAAGGTTCTATTCTCTATGTTTGGTGATATTTAGTTGTCTAATTTCTCATTCATTTAAGAAGCAGAAATGATATGCTTTATCCCGGCCAATAAAAAGGTATGGCAAACAAATTTTAGGAGTATGATAAAGTTTTGATAACATAAGTTCCTATACATGTAAAAGACCAACAAATGTTTGTCTATACTGTGTTGCATTTTAGTAAATATTCATACCATTCTACCTGTAACTTGAAGCGACAGTGATGTATATTGCAGGGCTCACTTATCACCTACATCAGTCAAGCCATTAACCCTCAATATTATCTGTCATAATTAACATAAAGCATGGGGTAAGTAAGCATCAATTTGAATCACCTAGGTAACTTGGGATATGAGTGGTATCAATGACGTTTAAGGAAGGTTAAACAAAGAATTTAGTTTGGCAAGAAAAGATATAATTCATTTTTGTTATTGATGCTACCTATACCTTTAGGTCTGCTTTGAAATTCGAGTACAATCATCATGGGGAAAATGAATCGTTGATACATAATACTTACACCTTAACCCGTTGTGGTGTAGTGGATTATCTCCAAGATAATTCCCAATGTTTTGTACATTGAATGCCCTGATAACCGTTTTTAAATTAATCCCGATGGTTTATATATTTCAGAAGGCAACACGAAGTGCCGACTACAGTTTGTTATCGAATAGTACAGATCAATAAACCCCAGGCACGCCAAACAAAATCGGGCAGAAACGCTAATATGAGCAAGCAAATACATGGGTAGATTAATTGTCGAATACAGAATCAAATGAAAGGCCGAATAAATTAATAATATTCAAGTATATATATATGGCGAAGTGAATGACTTATCGAACGATTTAGGCAACTAACACTTGAGCTGGAGATAGGGATATGTGCATAGGCTATCACATGTGATTAAGCATACGTGTTCATGCAGACATGGTAATAAAAAAACCGATATATAAAAATTGTTGCTATTCGAATAATTCTGTTAAATTAGTTGAAAGTGTTGATAAAATTGAACGTAAACGAACTTAAGTGTTGGAGAGCTGTTATAATGGTAGTAGCTTTGAATCTCTGTAAAAAGTAGTCCGACGACTTGGTATTTTGTTGCGTAACCTATTGTTTGTAATTTTTGCCAGAAATGTGATATCCTTAGTGAAACTATCAAAGTTTGTGGGACTCGTGAACATATTACGCCAAAACAAATAGCAGAAATTTGTCCAGAAAAAGAAGGTCGTTATCATCTTTTTCGTTTCCGTTATATGCTTGAAGGCGAGGAACATTCTGCTACCTGTAAGTTTAACATGCATTTCAGTAAGTACTTTTTTAGAACTCCTGTAGAAAATTTTCATCAACTTTGCTTTTGTTAAGGTATTCCAAAATACTCTATCCGCTCTTATCTAATGAAGCATCCATGGTACTGGTCTCCTGAATATCCATTACCGTTTCTCATATTTTCAAGTTTTCTGACCCAAACCTGTTCTTAAATCAGTATTCTTTTTCTAGAAGTCGAAATGTCACAAAGTAACACCTTCATTGTATTATCGATCAAACGTACTTGTTTTGACCTTTTTTGAGTTACGTGTTTGATAGGGCTGATAAATAAATAGCGAAAATAGTATTAGCTGAAGTATCTGAACTTTAAGATTTGGAGATCCTGTCTGAAATACAGTCAGACATGAATCTACAGATTTAAATGATGTCATGTTACTATTTATATCAGTATATGAGGCAAGTAAGCACATCTGGACAAAATATCTTAGTGAACAGTCATTTCAGTTTGTTTGAATGTATCGAAAAATTCCAATTTGACTTCATCATACGCAAGTTTTCTCTCGCCATTAACATAGATTTTAATTAGCAGTTGTCACTGCGTAAGAATAACTTGAACTAAGCTCACAGGAGATCCGACTGCGATTGTCATTTATTTTATTTGAACACATAAATATTGGTACAATAGGGCACCAAATATATATGCGCCACACAAAACAATGAGAACGGGAAGAGAAAAAAATAGGGGAAGGAGCGTAAAATGAAAAAAAGAAGAACAATAACGAAGAGATTAGTGTAAGGTAGTGTAATAATAATAATGGGGGAAACGGAAAGGTACAACCAGAAGAAATCTTTCGGTTAGGGAAGAAACAACCTTTTTTTATGAAGAAAGTAAAAGAAGGTTACAGCAGGATCGCCACTGGCTCCTATTCTGAGCCATATCTGATAACGTCTCTAGCCACTGTGTCGCACCATCTCTCGGACCCCAACCAGGGAGTCGTGTCATATATTGACCACCTCTCCGCTTTTTCCAGCCAGTCACAGAGTCGGCAAATAATGCACGACGTGGAATTCTCTGGGACGACATTCGTAAAACATGTCCAAGCCACCAAAGTCGGTGTCTCAAGATGGTGACACCAATTAGATTATCGTCTCTGTGCCCGAACACACGATCCCGAACCTCTGCATTACTGACATGGTGTTGCCACTGGATGTCAGCAATCCTTCGGAGACAACGATGATCGAACACAGAGTCGTCTAGCATCCTCAACTCGGGGAGGCCATGTTTCATAAGCATAAAGCAAAACTGCTCTCACCGACGCGTTGTAGATCCGATCTTTATCATCCAGACTGACATCACGAAGGCGCCAAAGATGGCCTAGATTGGCATAAGCCGCTCTGGCTTTCACTATACGTGTATTGATCTCATCACTCATGCCACCACCAGCACTTGTGCAGTTACCTAGATACACGAACTTCTCGACTACTTCTATCTGCTCACCATCGAGGGTGAGTACATGATTAGAATCCTGCCAGTCTTGTAGGTGTACTTTGCACTCTCGGCCATACCAGAGCGTTTGGGGGCGACTGTGATTGTCAACAACCTATTTTTAATTGATAAGTGGCAATAATTGCGTCCTAATCAGTTTCAGCGTGATAATTTGGTCAGTACTGTCGAGATCCAGGTAGAATTAGTGTACGATGCTATTATTTGGATGTATTGACCTATCTGTTGTAAGGTTTTGCAGTTGTTGATAATGAATTTTATTCTCAGGAAACTTTTTGTTCGTCTTTCTGTTTCAGTTTTTATTCATACAATTTCTGGCAATCAAAGTCCAATAAAAAGCCGAATGTTGTATTCTAGTTGCAAGGCAGCTTTACTAACTCGGTTGGAGCGTGAATTTGGAATAACCTTTGATCATAGAGTAAGATATAATTTCAATTATTTACTACACATACTGTTTATTACATATTTTGAACCTTTATGTTTCCTTGAAGTTTTGTATTAACTTCTCTATCTCTGAGTAAACCAAAAACCCTTCTTCTATTCGTTTAGAAAAGAAGCATGTTATTCGAGCTATACAGCAACGTAATAGATTTTTCCACAATTTGACTTTATTTATAACACTAGTCATACACGAGTTCCTTTATCTATCTATTGTAATAAATATAATGGCACTGTCTAACTGGTAAAACTTATAAATTAACCCTGTTGCCACTGTTATGCTTGTGTCTCCTTCTTTGTGTCCGCGGTCCAACTGCTTAAACATGGTGATCAAGAACCACTGTGATTCTCATAATGCAGACTAAGAACACCGAAGACTGGTGAAAATGAAGATTTATTAACTCTCCAAAACACTTCGTTCCGACAGATACGCTCACTTATAAACTGATTTTGTACATCCATGATGATGTTTGTAACCATATAAATAAAAAGAGACAGGGTTACTGTAAAGCAAATACGAAGTCCATAAAGAACAATACAAGCATATAGTTGTCACACTGAACGAAAGTCCGCAATTGTTATATTGGATGGAATTGACACTTGATCGATACATAACATGTTGACCTGAAATAATGTCACACTGTCTAATACAAGATTAACATTGCGGTAGCTAAAATATCTCGTCGGGAATAAAGCCAACGTCGTAAAATGTCACATCTAGTTAAAGCAAATATGAACACGCCTTTTCTTGACTTACCAGAAAGTCAAATGCTGCTAGGAAGGCTTCAAATTACCTCGATCTTAATGAGTTGTAGTTCTAACAAACACGGATGTTCTTTGTGAATTTTTAATCCCTTCCACCCCACTGACCTCTTATCTGGTCAATCGCTTTCGCCTTCCGTCTGCCACAATTTTGATTTCTTGGATGGAATGTCAAGCTTTTTCTGAATTCCCACGTTCTCTCTTCGGTCTCGTTGGGGTTAGGTTATCAATATAGAAGCGTTGTGGGGGATAGTGATAAGGCTTTCTAGAAGTCATAGATCTCGTCTGTTATTAAAAGAGATCTTTCAGTCGCTCAATTTAGAGTAATTGTAAGCTATTCTTAAATATAAAAATGACAAAATGTCATTATTTTCATAAGTAAACTGTAACCTCACTAGACAAAAGATGTGTTGTGAGTTAGTTATCAGAAAGATTGCTTTTTGTGTGGTTAACATCGCTTATTTTAAGATTAGAAACAAAAACCATATTTTTCAATGTACTTTATACTTCATGCCGTGTGGAATTACATACGTATGGAACAGCGCCCCAGTAACATAGTGGGCTAACAAATTTTGCATTTCGTGAGAGTGTATGTTTCTAGATATATATACAGTTAGTGTACGTTACGTTTCGAGTTTTTCGCTCCAAAAATCCTGTTGCTCTATACACTCAGTCTTTTAACCTTATTTTTTTAGATGCTGTGAAATGTTTTTTTAGTAAAATTTTAAACTAAATTAGGGAGTTAAAAGTAAATAATGTTTGTTCATGGTTTATATCACAATGAATATTTATACGAATATTCGTCAATATTAGAACGAATAGTTTGACAAAAATTGGGCGCAGCGTATAGAGAAGTCATTATAGGTGAAAATTATATTTGAAATAATCTCAGCGACTGCAATTTAAATAATTCCAACGTTTCGTCTAGCAAACTTGTAAATTTATTGACTGATTTCTACATGACTTCTTAACGTATTTCGCAAAACTAGAGTAGAGATGAATTTAATTGTTGACTACATAAATGTCGTTCAACAAGTTATTTATTTATTTATTTGAACACATAAATACTGGTACAAGGGGGGCACCAAATACATATGCGCCACACAAATCTCATTTGATTTGTGTGAGGGCTGTGATACTGCCCGGGTGCCCAGACCGAAGCAGGTGGTTTTCTTAGTGGGCCACACCCGGAGCCTTTGACCTAAAGGTCTGACCCACAAGTCAGTGGAGCTTCGTGAGGAGATGCAGTCCCATGGTAGCTGGCGACCAACGACTGGTTCATACGCCATTTGTTCCCTCAGGATACTGGAGCCCATGTGCACCATTGGTTTAGAATCAGGGTTTTTCAACTCCCCTAGGTGGACTCTTCATGTCCACCAACCCGGTTAAAGCGCCGGACATTTGCTTTTCGTCCTCTCATTTTCGTAGACAATACCCCTTCCACGAGAAGGCAGTGAGTAGGACTTCCGTGGCAGAGGCTTATTTGTGAGTGTCATTACTAAGTTTTGACTTGATTATAGAATTCATATTATTGTAAAATTCCATTGAATATAAAATTAAATATTTTACGTTTCATGACTTAGTGTAAGGGATTTTTCAGCGAATGAAAATAAATAAAAAACTAAATGAACACAAGTTTAAGCTTGTTTGTTTTATGCACAATTATATATCCTAAAGGGGTAAGGGTCCTTCACTTCAGTTAGTTTGTGATCTACAGAAAGTTAGTTAAGATGATCACATCGATAAATCTTCAACTTATTTGGTGTTTACTCAACAGATTGTTGAATCAGATCTTAGCTTTTTTATTTACATTGGTCAGACCTATCATATTATTTTGCCACAAGAATATAATCTATGAATTCATCAAGTTTTAATTTCAACATCGACCTGTGATACATGCTTGTATAAGCCTAACAATGTTTTATTCCCGAGTGGATATTATGTCATTCATCAAATTATCTAATTTTATGAGTATTCGCTTTGGCCTGTTACCGTTCCGGAACATAGTTCTCCAACCAGCTCTGTCTTGGACTCTCTTCTCTAGTTGTTGACAAGTGGTATTCATGGTCTTGATGTCTACTTACGATTCCCAGGACAATATTTTCTTTTATTTACTTCTCTTACGTTTGCCTTATTTATTTATTTATTTTATTTGAACACATAAATATTGGTACAAGAGAGCGCCAATATATATGCGCTACACAAAACAATGAGAATTCGAAGAGAAATAGAAAAAAAAGCTAAGGAGCGCAAAAAAAAGAGAACAATAACGAAGAGATTGGTGTAAGGTAGTGTGGTAGTAACGAGGTACAATCAGAAGAAATCTTTCGGTTAGGGAAGAAACAACCTTTTTTAATGAAGAAAGTAAAAGAAGGTTACAGCAGGATCGCCACTGGTTCCTATTCTGAGCCATATCTGATAACGTCTCTAGCCACTGTGTCGCACCATCTCTCGGACCCCAACCAGGGAGTCGTGAAGGACCGACAGAAGCCAGTCCTTTGCAGCTTTCTTTCATGCCACGACACCATGTAATGCACTGACCACCCCTCCGCTTCTTCCAACCAGTCCTAGAGTCGGCAAATAATGCACGACGTGGAATTCTCTGGGACGACATTCGGAGAACATGTCCAAGCCACCGAAGTCGATGTTTTAAGATGGTGACACCAATTAAATTATCATCTCTGTGCCCGAACACACGATCCCGAACCTCTGCATTACTGACATGGTGTTGCCACTGGATGTCAGCAATCCTGTTATGCCCTACCACAGACCAATGCGCGTAGACGACTTTAAGCAACCAATACGCAACAAGGACGAGGGAAACTGATATTCTATTCTTGACGGTTGGCCCAATACTAACTTTCCCCGAACGAAGACGAAAAACAAAAAAACTAATGATTACCAGTCCAAGATCGTTATTATATTTCAGACACTCATGTGTATGTACAAGACCAGATCATGGAGCATACTAATTGAGTAACAGTATTACCACGGAAAACAACACTAAGAAAGGGTAAAACGGAGTACTAGGTGTACAAATAATTGGTTTCAGTTTATGATTGAAAAATGCTATAGCAACAATTTACGGTCCAAATAAAAGCTCGGAACTAGGATAATATGAAAATAATAAAACCAGGATACTCATTAAATATCCAATCAACATATAAATAAAATCGTAGAAAACTAGCATAGAAGGTTTTTACCTCATAGTTAAATCGTCTCTTACAACATTTCAAAGTTAGGGCTTGCCTCTTGATGCAGTCAGTGATTTCCGCAAAGTATGTCCTATCCATCCAGCGTATTTACATAGTCTCCTCAACTGGCAGCTGGTTTGTTCGCTACCAGGGTACGTTATTACCGATTGTCACCGGCCAATAAATGTAGACTATTTTGCTCAGATAGCTGTTTATAAATACTTGTACCCTTTTTATGATGATTACTTGTTTCAGCTTCGTACTATAGAACTATTCTAACCTTTATATTGAAATTCCTGACTCTGATTTTGGGTGACAGTTCTGTATAATGTTGGCGATCTACAGAGTTTTCCTACCCGATCTGTCGAACGCTTCCTCATAATCAAAGGAGTTAATGTAAACTGATAACTCCTATCTACTGATGACTTTTGCGGAACAGAACCTTCTATCATGTCGAGGTTATTACTTCTTTAATTCTTTTCCAGTTCTTCATATTGGTTTCCTCTTTGAGTAAAGCTTGTGAGCCTTGGAACTTATCGTTTAGCTCTGTCTTGGGTTCGCTGATTTCGTTAACATCTCAAAGGAAGGTTGTATTACACGTCTGTAGTGCTGTTTTTTCAATGGTCCAGTTCTTCTTTCGATTCAGGTTTAACCTCGCCACCAATAGGTAGTGATCTGAGTCTATATCAGCTACTTTCTTTATTCTTGCATCTTGAATCTTTTATTTATACAGATGTGATTGATCTGGTTCTCTGTAGTGTAATCTGGTGTAACCCATGTAACTTTGTGCTCGACCGTAGCTGCTACTTTGATGTGGTGGTCGGGTTTGCCTATCGTGTTGACCAAACCGAGCTATATTGGCTGGAACATATGTTCCTGTAGGTTCTACCATGCCAAGCAGGCCAATTGGAGAACGGTAAGACTAAAAGCAGCAACTCAAGGTCTGAAGGCGAAGTCGTACTGCTAACTGTAGAGGGATGTGACAGCAGTAAGGTGTTTCCGTCGGACAAACAACATCTGCAGC